TTTTCTTTGTTGGTTTGTGACTTGCTATTCCTCTTATTTGGTGCTACGTTTTTCACAAACCCAGGTGTTAAAGAACTTGTTTGCTTCAATAGGTAGAAAGAGAGGGAAGGGTAAGAAAGTTGAGAAATTGGTGTTGAATAGTTGAAGAGGAAGATGGCGAGACAAGAAGAAAAAAGGGTATTGTCAAGGAAAAAATGGCTTTAAAGGTAATTTTATAATTTTATTTTTATAATTATTCATTTTAAAAACTGTGTTCCCACCAAATGTTGAACCGGTGAGTGCATGAAATCATTATCCTTAAAATTAATATCAATTTCATATTTTTTTTATATAAATTAATTATAAAAAATATAATTAATATTTTTAAAATTTTTATCTTTAAAATATAATTTTTTATTAAATTTATATTTAATTAAGTTAAAATTTAAATATAAAAATTTTCGATTTTAAAATCTCGAACTCTCGAGTCACGAAGTCGGGATACCATTAAAATAAAAGACACACGTATTCACCAACGATAGGTTGGATTAAGTGGTAAGCGACTTATTCCAGCTTAAGTGAGATCTCGAGTTCGAGTCCTTGTATGCAGCAGCCCCCGTTGGGAGACTCACCCACCATTTCCAGGTACGCGACGCGAGTCGAGTCCGAATTAATCGAAGCGAAGCCTCGGATACCGAGCGGGGAAAAAAAAAAAAAAAAAACCACACACGTATTCCACGCGAAAAGAACCGAGTTGACTTCACGCGGATCGAATTCAAACCACCAATTGAGTAACAGTTAAGCCGAATACTAAAAGTGCAAGCTAGGTAGGTTAGGTACTAGGGACGCCGGCGGGGTGGACTCCTAAATTGTTTTTATTTTTTTAAATAAATACATTCGTAACTTTTGTTTTTTGGCCGTTTATGAATTAATTAGACCTTTTCAAAATTTTATAAGTTACACTTTCCTCTAATTAATTATTCAAAACGTAACAGTACATTTGAAAGTCTCCATTACTTATTTTCAAAAAAAGAAAAAGAAAAAAAAA